AGAGCAGTAACCAGTCTTCTGTTCCCACAGTGTCATGAATTCTCCAAAGCAGTAATGACTCTTCTGTTCCCACAATGTGATTGATTATTAACGTACTTTCTGTTGCAAAGCAATACCACAGTTTCTGCACTATATTTGACCAAATCGCACCCAGATTACTTAACACACAATGATCAACAACTTTTTAATACAGAACAATACCATGAACAAACTTTAACTGCTTACTTAAACTAAAGTTTAACTAACTTTAACTGGGACTGGAGACCTCAACACTCAGCCTAGGCTTCAGGGCTGAGGGGTGGAACCCTGCAAGTTTGTGGAGCGTGAGAGAAAAACAAATGACTGTTCAGGCAAACCTAACAGAAGTAAACGACCAAATGTGCCTTCCGTGGATGTGCATAGGCCTTGAAAGAAATAACTGCTTTTGAGTCAGAATTCTGTGTTAGAATTTGGCATATAGTAAATTGGGTAAAAGGACACAGATAAACTCGGTACTTGAACTGTGATTGTTTTAGTAGTTACTGTATGTTTTAACCAGACTGAAAAATGTATTTATGTTAAGAGTACAGTAGGTTTTTCTAGATAACTGAAAGGAAGGAAATGGATACAATTTTCAAATTTTCTGTAGTTTAGAGGAAAAAAATGGCTATAGTTCTCTTAATGAGAGAACTCAAACTTGCCAGCTTCATTGTTTGTAAACTGGATGCAATACTTTCTTGGCTCTCACAGAATTCCTAAGACTTAATATATTTTTGCATGGCATTGATAAAAGAGTTAGCTATAGAAATATTATCTGTTCACATAACTAGACAGCTCTGCTAATGTAATTAATTTTTATTCTATAAAATGTTAACTATGATTAACTTGTACAGTTTTAGGCAGCTAACACCTAAGAGAAAATCAACACAAGAAGGGACTGCTGGAGTGAGGCTGAAGGAGGGCCACAATAATAATCAGAGGGCTAGAGCACCTCTCCTATGAAGGCTGAGAGTTGGGCTTATTCAACCTGAAGAAGAGAAGGCTCTGGAGAGACCTTAGAGCAGTCTTCCAGTGCCTAAAGGGGGACTGCAAGAATGCTGGAGAGGGACTTTATACAACACCGTATAGGGAAATGACAAAGGACAATGTCTTCAAAGAGTTGTGGAAGCCCCTTCCCCAGAAGTGTTCAAGGCCAGGCTGAACAGGGCTTGGAGCAACCTGGTCTATTGGAAGGTGTTTGTGCCCATGGCAGGGGAGTTGGAACTAAATGATCTTCAAAGTCCCTTCCAACCCAAACCATTCTGTGATTCATCTTACTCACCCTGCATGGAGAACTCATAGCAGCCTTCCAATATCTGAAGTGGACCTACAAGCATGCCAGAGAGGGACTCTGTCAGGGACTGTAGTGATAGGACAAGGGTAACGGGTTTAGACTTAAACAGAAATGTTCAGGCTAGATACAAGGAAGAAGCTCTTTACTGTAAGGGTGGTGAGGCACTGGAACAGGTGGCCCAAAAAAGTGGTAAATGCTCCACCCCTGGCAGTGCTCAAGGCTAAGTTGGACAGAGGCTTGGGCAGCACGGTCTAGTATGAGGTGTCCCTGCCCATGGCAGAGGGGTTGGAACTAGATGATCTTAAGGTCCTTTCCAACCCAAACCATTCTATGATTCTATCCTGATGCAAACTTTCATGGAACTTGAAGAAACCTCTGCTTTCAGCACCCCCTTCTCATCATGCTACTGAAACACTGATGTAATGCTGGTCTCTCAGATGTAGTGATCATCTACATGACTTAACAGTATCTCATATGACCCTCACTGTCTCTAAAGCACATGCCTATCATTGCTCAGTTCAAGCTAAAGAAGACCAAATTTGTGAGTGAAAGAGCACACACTCATCCTCCCCAAGTAGATGTTTAGATGATTAAGTTAATGAAACTGAAAAAGCATCTGGTCTTTTCTAAAATAAATTAACAAATAAATAAATAAATAGATAAATAGATCACTCATTCTATACTGTCCACATTCTAGCATCATCACCTACCCAGCACTCTTGTGGATCCACAGACAATATCACCAAGACCCAATCTTTGCTTCTTGCCTCCTTTGCATAGATTTTGGATTAATTTGGCTGTCTGGACAAAAATTGTCTTTCTACAAAACATCCTGGAATCCATTTACAAGACTGTGGCAAAGCTTAGCCTTCTCATTTCTTCCTCTTATCCTTACTGTAGGATAACTGTAGGAACACTGGTGGTGTTCAAGGCCAGGTTGGACAAAGCCTTGGGTGGCATGGTTTAGTGTGAGGTGTCCCTGCCCATGGCAGGGGGGTTGGAACTAGATGATCTTAAGGTCCTTTCCAACCCTAACTATTCTATGATTCTATGAAATAACTTATACTCATGTTCTTCATAGCTGTAAGTTTGTATTAATTCTTAATACTTTCTTGATCAGAACTTCTCATGGTATTCTCTGCAAATATGGCAAAAAGCTGCTCACTTCCTTTACACATCATTGTCGACAGCAGCCTTTCTTACACATATGCTTTTCCCAAATTTGTATAATTGAATCCACAAGCATAATTTCAGCTGCATTCTTAATATAGGAATTGTTTGTGTAATTGTACACATACTATTAGCAAGTGCAGTATGATCTTAACATTATGCAGTATACATTCTGAAATGCGATGCATCATCTCTACCTACTGCATATTGCTCTCCTTAACCCTAGACAGCAAATGAATCAAGGGCTTTTTCCAGAAAGTAAACTTAAAACATATAAAGGAAATCTGTGCTCATGTCTTAGGGGTTTCTGCATTTTTAGTGTTGAAATAAAGCTTGCTCAGATCACAATAACTAATTTCTAAAATAATATCCAAAATATTATAGGTCAGCATATGTGAGACTGAATGTGAGACTGAAGATACAACCTCAGTCTGAACAGAACTATTACACAGCAATAGCTTTACATTAGTACCATGCATGGAAAGAAATTTGTTCAGTCACTCAGTTTACTACTAATCATTCAGCAGCTATGGGGTTTTCCCACCATTTCTCTCCCTACCTCCACCTTTCCTCAAAATCCCAGATTAAATTTTTTTCCACCTGTTCCTTTATTAGCACAACAATGTGAACGAACTTTGAACAGTGGTTTTATTGGTAGCTACAAGAACCTTCTTTAAAGAACTTTGTTATGTAGGTTATATATAGTTGCAACAGTTGTATTTTACTATTTATTTAAATATTCTACTGGGAAATTCCAACATGGCTTAAAAATATGCATTATGTCAGAAAAGATGTACAGATACAGACACTACTATGAATTGCCCAAATCTAAACTTCGGCACCACACACCATAATCCTAATAATCAACACTGAGTTTAAGATTATGTTTGCAGATGCATTACAATTCACTTTGCTAGACCTATATACCCCCTGTCAAGCTTCAAGAAAACCCTATTTAGTGGACTTACTTAACTGAGGTAAGAAACCCTTTGGAAAGATTCACATGCATATATAGCTGAACTAGACAGTTACGTTTGCTTTCTTTTGTCACCTTATTCCTTGTAACATAAGGATGCCCAGGAATCTGAGAACACATAAGCATGTGTATGCTGTTATACAAAGAGTATTAAAAAAGTATTAAAAAAGTATTAACATAATTAAACCAACAATAATCTCCTATTCAGGGTTTCACCCACAGTACTTGAAATCAATCACCATAATAATTTTACTAGATTTTTATATTATATTTATCATACCTTTTTTTCATAGAAATGTGGACACATTAATTTTGGTCAAGTAATCACAATATTAAAACTGTATGAAGGTCTTACACAGGCTTTAGATGTCTTATCTGACTCCCAGTGAACCAAAACTTAATCGACATTTATTTAGGAATTGGGGCTTTATAGAGTCCGGTGAGTATGTTCTTTACAATAGTTAAATGGAGGAGAAAAGAGCTAAAAAGAAGCAAAATGTTACTGACAATTACTTGTTTCAGCTTTTCTCAGCCATGCATTTCTCTGAACATGTTGGTTTAAAAAAAAAGCATAAAAATTTCCAATTAATGTGAAACATCAGTCATTATTTACATGTTTACACAGTATTTATGTGCTTTATCACTAGATCACCAGTATATGTTACTATTTACCTATAGATTAATTATTTTAGAGCCTAGTGGGTTTTCAAGTACATTTATTTTCTAAAGACTACTCTGAAGCTAGGACTTTGCCACATACGGTTTGGGAATAGCCTACAGGGCTGAAAGACAGCAATTAACAAACAGAAGAACTACTTACAAGCAAATTATTCAGAATCATTTTGAGTGCCTTCAGTACTAACATATTTTAATAATATAAAAGAAAACACATCTAGTAATTAAAAAAGTTGGAAAAAGAAACTAGGAATGTAGAACTCAGGGAACAGTCATGCTTGTTCATATATTAAAGTTCTTATTGTAAAAGGACAGATAGGTAACTGATAGATTAAAAAAAGTATAGTTGTGATTTTTGATTGTATTCTTTCTGTTTTGTAGAGAAGCAAATTCAAATACATACAGATAACACAAGAAGCAATCCAATGCTATTTCATTCATCTAATTTAAAAATAGCCCTGCTAATTTCAAGATGTTTTATATAAACACGCTGTTTGCAAACATTTTGAGAATATTACTGCAATATGCGAATACAGTGACTACTTACTAAAGTTTACCAAATTGGTACTTGAAGGAACAACAAAAAACACACATATAGAAGTATAGATGACTGGCATCTGTCGTATTCTCTCAAGGAAAAGCAGTAGTCACACTAATCTCTCTAATCTCTTAGCACATATTACACACATATATATAGACATAAACAGATTCACAAACCTGTAAGAATGTGGTCACCTACAGCATAGCAAGTTCTCAGTTATGCCTTTCTACTCCACTAATAAATCAATGTAATTCACTATTAAGTGACCTAAATGTAGCCAGAATGGTAACAAATTAACAAAATTCTAAAATCATCCAGCCACTCACCAAAAGACTGAATGCAGGTTTCAAGAAGATCTTCCAAAGTGGCCCCTTTGGCTAAATGCCCCAAGGGCACCATTGTGAGCTGGGTAAGATGTGAGATGCTGGGACAATGACCAATCTGCTTCAGCTCATGTGCTGATTCAGGGGCTGTGCTGCATCCTTGGGCAGGTTGCCTAAAAGAAAGCCCAATGGTGAAGTAAATACAAGAAGATCCAATGGTAAATTTTACACTGCATGGCAAAGGAGGAGAGATTTAAGACTATTATCCCCCTGTAGCTAGGGTGCTGAAAAACCTAACCCTCCCACTTAATACGCACACCAAAGAGACTGCTCAGTAAGTGCCTTCCCCCTCTCCCCCTTCTAAACATGGACTGTAGAGTACACAGTTATAGAGCTCCTTGAATAATCTGTCAAGATTTTCAGAAGTACTGGCTCTTTGTTGGGGACTTATGTTTACATTACAGCATAAGCATAAAACCCCCTCAAACTATGTAACAGCAATATTGTTATGCAGTAATCTACTACCACATATTTGTGTGCCCACCAAAAGCAAAGGTGGAAAAAATATAACTATAATCAAACAATACACACTCTGGAAGATGCCAGACTAGCTTTAATCATTTGGAAAATCACTATTAAGTAAACAAAATATCAGTGCAACTTCACAGTGGAGTAAAATTAAACAATTAAAACCAAAACAAATCAAATAAAGCATATTAATTTGCATTTGTTCTATACTATTATTTCTTACTAAGTTGTTTTAAAATTGCATGCACGATTAATGTCTTTAATAATAAAGATAAAAGGGACCAAAATAAAGCCCATATCTAGTTTTAGGCTTGTATTTTGATCATATAAAATCTTAGATTTCAAGAATGTGTATGTTTACAGATAGAAGAAAGACTGTTTATTGTCTGCATACAAGTTCATAACTCTGCATGAAATAGTAAAGAGATACATTTTTATATCAATGAAAAGTGCTGAAACATTTTTGCCTGCAAAGAACAGGAACCACCTCAAAATCTGACTTGAGAATATAACCATATAGCTCACAAAAGGGCAACAACCACTGGTGTTTCAATAAAATTTGGGTTTATTTCAGGGGCAATTTACACTCCACAGTCTTCCTAAGCAAGTGACTCCCGCATCTTTAAGATGCTACCTTCAGCTTTCATACAAATTTTCTTTGAACAATATACTAGACTTCATTAATAAACAGTCCTGGGGAAAAAAGGCAGAGAAATTTATCCAGTGTGCGTATCACATACATAAAAGGAAGGAAAAGACACGAACATTCCCATACAGGCACTCCTGGATGAAGCTGGAAATAAGCACACCTTATGAAGACCGACTGGACCTTACCTCACCCTAGTCAAGCCTTTTTCTGTCTCATTTGAACGCTGAGAAAGCCATGAAACTACACGTGATGTCGCTCACAACCTAACACTGAACCCAGGCCTTCATAGTTAAAAAAGTCAGGAAAATGCAGGCCAGATCCTGCAGAAGTAGTGACCATCATGCAGCTCCTCCATAGTTAAGCTAACAGTGCCTATGCAAAGAATGTTCTCTTCCCTTCCCCCTTTCTCTAAATTTCCATCTTAGCTTTGTGATCTGACTTCCTGTTCTCATCTGAAAAGTGCAAGGGTCTGTTCAGCTTTCAGGGTTTTCTTTTTACAAGCTGAAACCCCTCTCTTAGCTTTATTCCAGTGCCTCTTGAACACAGAGCATAGGGTCTTAGCAATGCAGTAGTAATGAAGTAGTAGTTACAGCACAAGTTATCTTTAGATCTTGGCAACAGAGCGTAGAAAAAACTAAAGCGTCCACACCCCAAAAAAAGTTTGCAATAACACTGTGGCCAACTTGGCAGCACTGGACAAACAAAACTGAGCCGGTGACACGTCTGGGACTAACGTGTCATTCATTAGAATGGATCCCCTTGCCTCAGCTGTTTGACATAAAAAATAGATTAAAGCTGTGCGGAGGGGGGGGGGGGGGAACACACAACACGAGCAACCTGCATTTCCATTGCACCCTATCTGGCGGTGGGAAGAAACCACAAACAAATGATCACCAGCTCCAGAAGTGGTACCGGGGCAGGTGGCGTTCCCCCGGCTAGGAGGGTGGGCAGGAGCCTTGCGCCCCGACCCCTCGCTCCGCGGGCCGCCGGCGGTGCCGCAGGTAACCGGAGCCCGGGTGAAGGCCGCACCACCCCTCCCGCCCAGCCGTCTCGCCGGGACCGTAAGGTGAGGTTTTTCTCAGCCCGGGCTGACCGACCTGCCCTGCGCACACCCGTACTCAAAAGGGTAAAACAATGTCCTCCCCTCACACACACTCTCCAGTGCTTCTTTCCTTCCTCTTTCTCACCCGGCCTCCAGGGAGCCCCAGCCGCTCGGACCACCGTCCCCCGGAAGCCCCCGCTGGGCAGCACAGCACCAGCCCACCGCGCCCGTCCCCACCGCGCCGGGAGGGCTTCTCACGCTCTCAGGCACAGCGGCGTGTGACCCCCAGACCTACCGCCGGACCGCAGCCCGCCCCGTGGCGGGCACCTTCCTGAGAGAGCGGGAGACAGGACAGAGGGAATTAAAGCGCAACTCACGGGGTTTCTCTCCTTTTCCTTAAGGTTCCCATGCCGGTGCCAGCCGCAGCTCCGCCGCCCGGCCGGGTCTGCCCGCAGCGCAGGGAGCGGGGCTGCGCGGGGCGGGGGAGGCCGGGGAGAGCGGCGCGGCCCCGCGCATCGCCTCCTCCAGCCTCGCCGCTCTCCCGCTCCCCGTCGCGCCTCGGGAGGAGCCTGAAAGCAATTCAAGTGGGGCAGCGGCGGCGGCGCCGCCACCCGTGACGAGCGCAGGCGAAGATCTTATCGGCAGAAGGAAGTACGGAGCTACTGGGCTGCTCTTCTCTGAAGCCACCGGATTTACCGGGTACCGAAACACGCTCTCCGCCTCACACCATCCGGCTCTAAAACCGCCGCAACTTTTTCCACAGCACAACTTTGGCGGAACTGGTCAGTACAGGGCCAGGGCGGGCAGGGAGAGCCCGCTCCCCACGGCGGGATGAGCCATCGGGGCTTACGGGGACCGAGGACAGCGGCTGTTGGGGGGGGGATGTTGGAGGGTGAATCCGCGACCAGACCCCAGCCTCTGACGGCACCGGGGTTACGTGGCTGCGGGTGGAGTGATTGGCTGGGTCGCCAGCAGAGGGGTGGGGTGTTCACCAGGGCCCGGCAGACACCTGCGGCAGGGGAGAATCGGACGGAAGGCGGCCGACAGCCCCGGGACCCTCGGCGGACAGCCTCGGGGTGGTGCGCGGCGGAGCCTGGCGAGCGGCCGGGCAGACGGCAAGGTGGCCGGGTCATTGACCCCTGCGTCGGCAGGAGCCCGCGGCACCCCCGCCCCGTGGTATGCTCAGTGTCTGCGGGATGCTGGGGCTGGCGCAGGGAGGTGATACACACCACACTGACTTTAAAACTTGCGGTTTTAAAGACTGATTATTTGGCACCTTACACCGCCCCTCCAGTATAACCGCACAGCAAGGAATGGGGACCCACTAGTTTTCATGGTCCTTTTACTATAATCACGAGTTCCTGAAAGCTCTTCCAACTCAACATTGACAACTCCTTTACTTCTGAAGAGAAATAACCAGACAAAAAATCTGAAGGGGAAAACTTGCCCTGTATCCTGCAGCTTCTGTTCTGATCAAATGGTTTTCTGTTGAGAAATACACTCCACGGAGCAGTACAAAAGTACTGGGTCACAGGGCACTCCAGCTGCCAGCTGGAGTCAACAAAAAAAAGTCAACAGCTTATTTTGAGAGCGCTGTTTATGTTCTTAAAAATTACTCAGTCATCAGAATGCCACTGGGCCTCACACTGAGATCCAGACAGTTTTCATAAGCTCTTTCTTCAGTTTTAAGGCTAACTGGTAAGATTCAGGTATTCAGAATAATTCCCTGCCAACAGTCGGGGCACATTTCTGTTTAGGTCTTCAAAATGATCAGTTTTGCAAAGGACACAGCTCACTGGCGTTTTTCTCAGAGAGAGTGGTAACAGCCATTATCACAGCAGGAGCTGTGTGAACCTGACTTTTGCTTTGCTGAAAACCTCCAGGTAAAAGGAAAAACCCCACATACTTCTGGAATCTTATCAGTGATTCAGTAGGTGATGTTCTTCTGAGTGAGTTTTCAGCCCATTTCTAGCACAGAGCTCGAAGGTTGCTGTGGTTTAACAAACAAAATACGTTCATATACATCCAAGACCACAGGTCATGTGGTCTGTGATATTATCTGTAGCATTTATGTTGGTAAGCCAATTTCCTGGCTGAATTATACTTCGGAGAAGTGCCTGCCAACTATCTTTGCTTTTTCTTTAACACATTTTCCTTGAGCAGTTCATGTGTGTGCATACACACACAAATAAACGGAGGTTTGACAGAAACAATACACACAATACCTTTGTGGTCAGAAGGAAATCCGTATGTAAATCTCACAGTAGACAATCTCATGCAAAATTTCAATTGTAACTTACATGCCCACACAACAGTCTGACATACTGATCCTTCAATATAACGTTCTTCAGATGAAGTGGGTTTCTACTATAAAGTAGATTTATGCCTGGTTTGTGTCCTCAGAGGTTCAGAGATTTGCTCTGTGGAAAAGCAAGATATTTATTCTGTTCTCAGTGCTTCAATCAGTGGATGATTGCTTTAAAATATAACTTACGATCCAAAGGAGCCGTGCTAAGAGAGTTGCAACATGACAATGGCTAGGATGGAGAGAGAATGTATCATATTACTCCCAAGGGAACATGACCAGCCAGGTGGTTTTATACTGTTGTGCTCAGATTCCTGGAACATCTTGCAACAATAGTAACTTACAAATTGGATTTTACCATTGGAACCAACTTTCTGTCTTGGTGCAAGCTGATCTTTGAAGTTCTGTTTACTTCAAGATACGCCTTTCTCCCTCTAAGTTAGTGCAAGTCCACGGACCTAGCTTGGCCTTGAAGCAGAGTGAAAATAATTTTCTTAAGCTGTGCTTTTCTATCTGCTTTAAGCTCATTTAATTTGCCATCTTTCATGGGTCCATATTCCTGTTCTTTACAATGGTCCAAGTAGTGGAGCTTGTACAACCACACAGTGAGCTGCATACAAAAATTAATGGCAAAAAACCCAACCCAACTAAAAATGATAAACATTCTGCCATACAACATCTATTATTTAATTCATTTCTCCACCCACTCCTATTAGCTCAACCACTGCCACAACCAAGCAATGGCAAGAGAGCAAGAACGCACATTTTCCCAATAGCTTTCGCTTAGGTCTGTTTTACATAGATCATTGTAAGATCACAGCCTGATTTTTAAAGCTATTCGCTGTACTTGTGGAATCATGTATGAGAAGGTTCCTTGGTACTGATAGAGCATCTGCTAGATGCCAGTGTCAGTAGGCAACACTAGGAAGGCAAGCTGAACAATCTAGTTTAGGAAGCAATTCCAGAAAAGGAGGAAAGCTTGTTAACATAACTGGAGAGAAGGACAGCGAATGGAAAGCTATGAAAAGTCACTGTGTGAAAAGTCAACATACGTTATGCAAACTAGGTAGTAATCAGAATCGTTGGGTTTACCAAGTCATCAGTGAGGCCCTGCTAGCAATTGCACATGAAAAAAACTGCTTTCATTTGAGTTGTGATTGGGTTGTCAGTAAGGTGCCTCTGAGGTTCCAGCTTTTCTGCAATAAAACAAGAAATTGATAGCTCCCAGTAGCCAGTGCCTCCTTACATTTAAGGGCTGTAGGTGAAAGACATCTAACAAAAGTTATTAGCTGTGCTACTAACAGATCTACGTATCCAATCTACCTCTATACTGTCATTTCTTCTCTAAAGGCTGCTTCTGTTAAACCTATTAATGTGCACTAGTTAGCCTTTTGCTGAACAAGGTGGAAAAGAGACAAGACTAAAAGTTATGAACAAGGAAAAGGAAAATCTTAGGAAATTTGTCAGAACCTCGAGTAGAGCATGCAGTACCCAGGTCTCACTGCTTTTGGATTCTCCCAGAGCATTTCTTAGCTTATTATACCACTCTCAGTGAACACTCAGGCTGATCATTACAGCTACTTGTGAGTCATTTTTGTCAGTTCAGAAAGTTTGTGGCATGGATTGAATGAGTCCAATCCTAGCAGTGACCTATGGAGGTGTGTTACATGCTGCCGCTTGATGGAACATTTATGGTTTTCAGTCTTGGAACTTATAGGCAAGACATAGTCTGTAGTTAAAGGCAGTACCTTTTATCAGACCAACTGGCACAGTCAGCAAAAGGCAAGGTTTTGAGTAGGCTTGAAGAAGGTTTCTGGAAAGAATCACAGAATCACAAAATGACTGAATTTGGAAGGGACCTCAGGTCCAGCCCCCTGCTCAAAGCACAGCTGTGAGGACCAGACCTGGTTGCTCAGGGCTCTATCCAGTTGGATACTGAAAGCCTCCCAAGTCTGAAGACTGCACAGCTTCTCTAGCAACCTGTTGTAATGTTTGACTGCTCTTATGGCAAAAAAAAAAAAAAATCCTTATATCTGATCAATATCTTCTGTCATTTTAGTTTATTTGTTGTCTCTCATACTCCTGCCACACACTGCTGTGAAGAGCCTGGCTCCTTTTCAATAACCTTCTCAGAAGTACAGCCAGTCTGCTATTACATCCCCCAAGGCCATCTTCTTCTCTTCTTCCAGGCTGAAAAGGCCCACTTCCCTCAGCATCTCTTCACAGGGCAACTGCTCCAGCCTCCAATCTCAGTTGCCCTCTGGGGAATTTGTCAGTGTTCTTCCTGTACTGCGGAGCCCAGAACTACACTCAGTCTGGAGTGTTGAGTAGAGGTGGTGTAATCAGTTCTCTTGATCTGCTGGCTCTGTGTCTGTGAATAAAGCCCAGGGTGCTGTTGGCCTTCTCTGCTGTCAGGGCACACTGCTGGCTCCTGTTGCTTGCTGCCTGGCAAGACCTCCACCTTTTTCCCAACAGTGCTGCTCTGCAGCTAGGCAGTCCCCAGCCTACATTGGTGCAAGGGTCTCTTCCTTCCCAGGTGCAGGACTATGCATTTGTCCTTGCTGAATTTCACGGAAGTTCCCATCAGTCATTCCTCCATCCTATCTAGATCTCTCTGAATGGCAGCTCTGCCCTAAAGTGTGCTGAATTCTCATTTCAATTTGATGCTACCTGCAAACTTAAGAAGAGTCTACTGCATCACCTCCCCCAGAGGTGGGAGTTTTAAAAGTGGTGGTAAGGTGGGCAGGTCCCAGGATAGACCCCTGTGCTACTTACTGCCAACTTCCAGTTAGAGTACAACCCATTCCCTCTGAGCCTAACCATTCAAACAGCTTTTTAGTAGATAAGCAGCTAGTTGTTCACCCATCCATACCTCAATGTCCCAGATTGAATGCAAGAATATTGTAGAAAATTATGTTGAAAGCTTTACTAAACTTTAAAAATAGCATCTGGAAATACGTATACTTTTTCCTGTATTATACTGGTTGGTCTAGTAAAAGGCATTGTCTCTACCTATGGATCTTGTACTGGCTGTGTCTTTAAGCTGTTGAAGTTATGACAGTGTTATCATGGAGAAGTCCCTTGAACAATTGTCTGCTCCAAAATTACAAGATTCCTGTTTCATTGTGTGTATGGATGTCAGTATTGCCTTTAAAAGAAGATGCAATGTTTTTCATAGCAACTCTGCTTCAATTCAGATC